CTTTGAAGTATTTTACCAGGCTAATACTTTTACACATAATAGCTTCAATGAAGCAACTCAGTGTTCTTTCGTTACTAGTTCTATAGTGATGTTTTCGAATTAATAACAGAAGCTAGTGCTCATCTGTTAAACTGTCAACTTGAGATGTGAATCCGTGGCCAAAGTCGTTCCACACTCAAGAGGGTTTTTTAATGACACTCCTTTGTTTTTTCTTATATATTTACACATTTGTGCCATCAAACTGTTGTATTTGCAATATGACACTTGTACTCGTGCGATATGGCTTTATATGCATATATATAATTTCAGGACTCCAGACTGCGACCTAAAATATTAATTTGCGAGTGAAGTTGTTGCTGAGGTGGCCAATGGCGACTACAGAAATTGACATGTTGTGATTTTGCATGTAATTACTTTTTTTTCTGATTGTTTTAGCGATCAAATATTTTGTTATGTTTACCTAATAAACTGAGGCGATGCACATCAAAGTTTTAGTGAAAAAAAGCAGCTCTAGTTGATGAGGGAGTGGAGACGTGAGAAGTGTGTGCAGAAAAGCAGTGTCTATTTTGTGCGCAACTTGAACAAACTACAACAGGTAAAGCTGTCAGCTGTGTGGACATTAACAATATATCGTTAACAATTCGTTTATAATCGATATGGCTTCTTGTTATCAAGATCTTTAGTCTATTTGCTGTGTTCTGTTAATGCGTGAGCTTCATATTATTTGTAGCGCACTTGCCTTCCAATAATCACAATAAGCTTTGTGCTTTGTTACATTTTAATAAACAAAGTATCAGCTTTAAAATTCTGCCAAATTCATAACGAAATTCAAACAATGAATACCACTTTGGTGCTCTTTAATGTGGCATGAGCACTTGCTTTACCACCTCAGTTCATGTGAACCTGTCATTATCTATCTCTTTACTACGATAGTAGGCCTACAAATTAAACATGAATGGACACCAAAAGGTATTTTATAAGATAGAGTACATCTTACTGAAATGTCTCTCATACAGTGTTTCAAACTGCAGAAAATGTGGAAAACTTGAAAATAATGCCACGTAACAATCATTTACCTCAGAATAAGCATTCCGCATCCATAAGCTCATCAGTCAGTCATAAAAAAATAACTATAAATAGGAGCATTTTGCTTAATTTATGCCCTGTATCGCATATGCATATTTTTACTTAACCTGTTGACATGATAAGAAAGAATGCAAGGAGCTAAAGGTAATATTCAATACCTCCTATTTAATTGCATGTTACTAATGAAGAAAAACAGACTGGATGTGTGCAAAACATATGACAACATTTATAGGACACATTGAGGAGGAGCTCAAACTACACTCAATGGCAAAGTGATGCTGAAATGATTATGGTCCATGATATTGGCACAGATTCTGTGCAATAAACAATACTTTGAGACTGTATATGGTTCTCAAAATGGAAAAATGTTAAAATGTAAAAAAAATGTTTATTCTATGGCACCTAAAAAAAATGTGGCACCTAATTTTGTTTCTTATAGGAGCCAATGGCTCCTAAATTGATTTTTTTGTCTGGAGCCCTGTATATGTATATCACAGGAACCCAGGGAAAAATATTTTCCTATTAAAAAGTTTTCCCTGGGGTTCCTGTGATGTAATGGCTTCAATATCAGAAAAGCATACAATTGCTTCTAAAAAACAAAAACAATAAAATAGTTAAACAGAGCATGAAAAAATACAAATGAGCAAATTATGTCCAATTCAAGTTATGTTCTGATCAAAGTGTTTGAGGGATTTTTACACTTGAGTCCTCTTTAAAAGAGCTGAATTTAGATACCTTTCAGTTGACCCAAAATTGAAAGAATCTAGTCTTCTTTGCATTTACATTGCACATACCTGAAAGTGGAGTCATAACATTCAGGTCCAAAAAAAAAAACTTATTTTGTTTTGTTTTGAAAAATTAAAAAAATTTTGATTATTTTTTGAGGAAAATTTTACGTCCAACTACCCTACTCCAACATTTTCTCATACATGTCGACCTTCAGCTTTTACTGTTAGATTCTCTGTACAGGGCTCGACGCTTACTTTTCTTTTTAGGAGCACTTCACTTCTTAGTGCCCCTCACAGTAACCAAGTGAGGGGTCTCTCTTATACACAAAGGACTTCTTTTTTCCATTCGCCTGACAGTCTATTAAAGACACAGTAGGAGTCAATACTGGGACGCCAGAGCCATCCCACGCTTGCACTCAGCAAACAGCTGCCTCTGAAAGCTCAGCCAGACATAAAACACAAGGCTTCCACAACACCCCTGGCCTATTATGCTATTGACAGATTGGCCCATGAAGGTCAAAATAAGTAAGAAATGGACCTGCTCTACAGTGGGCGGCAAGTGATGTCACAAGCTTCTGAAGGTACCTACTACAAGTGATTTTTTTTTTTAAACGTTAAGCCAACTTGCAAAGGCAAAGCTACAGTCTAAAGATATTGTTAATCATAATAAAATAATAACAATAAAAAAAATGTGCACTGTACCATTTTAATAAAAGTGACAAAAAGAACAAAAAGAAAAACTATTTTACAAGCTGCACACACATGCAAAAATACAAGGTTTGCTGATTAACATAACAGAGCAGTAACATAAAGACAGCACAGAAGCCTATTCCAGGGTTCTGTGATGCGCAGGAAAGTACTGAGTTCCTTTGTAGACTTGTCCATGTCATGATCAAACGTTACTGAGCGGTTTAAATCAGTAGTGGTAACCTGAGGTGCATTTCCCAAAAGCAATGTTAGCTAACTATGGTCTCAAGTTCCATTGAACTCCATTGGTAATGACAGAATTTGCGACCATATATGTTTTGGGAAACGCACAACTGGTAGACAGAAATGCTGCACTCCACCAGATTCAAAATGACAGAAATCTAGAGAAGAACATTTTCGGCACAGAATAGGTGAGATAAAAATTAAAGGGGTCATATGATGTTGCTAAAAGAACATTATTTTGTGTATTTGGTGTAATGAAATGTGTTTATGTGGTTTAAAGTAAAAAAAAAAAACATTATTTTCCACATACTGTACATTATTGTTTCTCCTCTATGCCCCGCCATTCTGAAACGCGTCGATTTTTACAAAGCTCATCGGTCTGAAAAAGCGAGGTGTGCTGTGATTGGCCAGCTATCCAATGCGTTGTGATTGGGATAGAGTGAGCTGAGGCCGGGCTAGCGTTAGCGGAAGCCCCGGCTTAGCGTGAGCTGAGGCTGGAGTGAGCTAAGGCGGCGGGGTCGAGAACGGCGTGCCCGGTGGATCCGACGAATGAGCGGCAACCAATGAGCCGTTTTAGGTAGGTGTGGCTGACTCTGAACTTTTATAAAGAATATCTCTTTGGATTTGAGACTTTAGTCTTTGCAACTTTACAGATCTTCTTTATGCACCAAGAGCTTGTAACACTCCAAAGAGAAAGGAAAAATTTAAATCGCATCATATGACCCCTTTAAATATTTAAGGGATGGCTAAATTCTCTCAATTTTATAAAACTACATGACCAAGTGCTTTAGATTCAGTAACTCTTTCAGCTCAATACATGTCCTATGGCTCGAAGGCTGCACTTGGTTTTTATACCTTCTGGTACTTGCCCATGCAAACCTCACAGCCACAATGGAACAGTGTTATGGGTGGTTTGGGTGACGTTGTGCAGTTATGGTTGGAGTGGTTTTGTTTGGGGCGCACTGCTATGCAGTTGCTGAGATTTCTGGGTGGTGCTAGGTGATTATTTACTGATTTACTCCAAAGTTTCTATAAGATTCTTGTCCTTGAGATTTTTTAAAACAGCTAAAGACAGCTTTTATTGAAACCATGCTGCCAAAATGACTTGCTTTCTACTTCCATGTTTTTATTACGTAATAAAGATGATTAAATCAGCACAAGACCGCCTGCACAGACACAGATCACCACCTGCTTCTTCATCATGGACTCTTTGACCCAGTCACTGATGCATTAGTGAAGGACAGGAGAAGAAGGCAGGAGAAGCACAACAGGATCACTGGACTAAAAATAACATTAGAATCCTTTGAAAGGTAATGTTACGTTGGAAAGTAAAGTGGCTGTTTATTTTCAACTACGCGATTGTCTCAGTAGAGCATTATTTGTTTGTTCGGGTACATTTCACTATGGATTCTTTGGTAAACCAATCCCAATTCGACACAGGCTTTTACTGAAAAGCATTCATGAGAGTGCAGAAATCGTGAGGTCATTGCATTTGTTCGCTCGACAGATAAGGCTTTGATAGCCTACAATGACCAGCGCTGCAATGAGAGTAGATCTAAATGTAATGTTATAACCAGCACATTTAAGGATTAGTTCATCTCAGCAGCTATGATAGTACAGACGTAGTAAATGAGTTCCACATGTAATACGTATTTCATATGCAGAGCTATTACCCAATCATAGCAGTGGACGTTTACTTTGGAGACTTAAAGGAGACCCGTCCATTTAAAGTGTTCAAATTAGAGGGCTAAAATCAGGGTAGAAATGGCCTTTTATTAAGTATTATTATAAACTATTACTTTATTATTTTACTATATATAAACTATTATATCTAAATAATATTTACTGTAAAAATGTATGTAAAAATCCTACTAACATCATAAGTGCACCTCAGGAAACATTATACAATTTAAAATGCAGTTCATGACACCTTAAATACTTAGGGTTAGGGGTTGGTTCACCTTAACCCTAAATATGATAAGTAGCAATAGGTATGCTTGCTCTAGTAACTAGGTAATTAATGCTATGTGGCCAAGAACAGCTGTGGTTTTGTACATGTAACCAAAAGCAATGACCTTACTGTGGTTACAATACAACCACAATAAAACCCTTAATGGAACAATATTGAACACTACAACATGCAATAATATATTACGTTAAATCTACAGATGTAGTAAGAGTTCAACACCGTACTCAACTGAACCAGTTGTATTATTTTCAGCATATGATAGGCTATACTCAGCAGAGTGAGCTCACCTCTGGCAGACAGCTTTTTGGTGTTGATGATTTTGGCAGCATATTCCTGACCAGTAGAGATTTTCAAACATCTTCTCACCACAGAAAAGGCTCCTCTGTAAATCAAAAAGAAAGTTAGTTCCTCACTGTGAAAATACTACTCTGATCCCCTCTGCCTTTTCTAAAAAAAAAAAAAAAACCTTGTCTTGAAAATCCCCGCTATATATTCATAGAATATATGGGCGGTATAATATGCTTATCAACATAACTCCGTTCTGAAAGTAAATAAACATGACGTTTTAAATAGGGGAATCCCGCTGTTTACTATTCCCGCCAAAAAAGGGAAAATACTAATTTATAACGTATTTCAAAAATGTATGAAACCAACGTAAGTAGCCTATTATATTTTTAGAAATTTGCGAGTTTTAAACTATAAAACAAATATAAATAAACTATATTAGGCTACTGTTAAATTTGCCCCAGGTATTCATTTTATAATATCATACAAAGTTTGCATTATAATTTATACTGTCAGCATAAAAAAAATGGTCTGAAATTAGTAACAGTATAGGCTCTTGATTATCTCTTATTCGTTTACCGTTGTAATCATTACGGTTGAAACTGCAACAATGCATAATTTCACACAATCACTTTAACAATTAAAACCATTAAAAACATATAGTGGTAAACAATAGTAGGATATTTAACTTAATTAATTTCATTGCTTATAAAAAAGAGCTGTAAAACGCAGTGCGGGGTTATCTGTAAACCCTATTGCGTGATGATTCAAATGAATCAATTGTTGACCGGATCATTCGAACGAACCGATACGTTAAAGTGATTCGAGTTTCCCAACAAGCACTTAATCTCTCACATCTCGCTTCCTGCTGTAACAGCGGCTGTTGAATCCAATGTAAGACCACCCTCTGGCGGCACAAACACGCGTGTACGAGTGTCTGAAAAGATTTACGCGTATAGATGATTTAAATCGCAGGAAATTAGAGAATGTGTGCGGGTAGACTTGTTGATAGACTAATAAAGATAGCCTAAAATGAAGCATCATACAGTGCTGTTGATCCTTGGGTACTGTCACCTTGAGTTAACGGGGATGACCAATTATCCTCTTAAATGACTAATCCTGTAAATCCAGTGGAGCATTCTCCCTCATCTACTATACTGTCTCAAAAATCAATGTGATGATAAAAAGCTCCCTCCCCTCCCTTGACGTTTCAGATTAGGTCTATTTGTCACTTTTTACTCACCTGAATATGTATTATAGAGTTGTTTTATGAAAGTGAATGCACACACACACACACACACACATATTCCTTTTGTCAGTTATTCACAATGAATAATAAATATTTTCTCTTTTCAAATAACTTGCAGTGAATTATAGATAACTGAAAACCACTGCCCAATATTCAAAGTTACCAAGAGAAAAAACCAGTTTAAATTACACAAGGGGTCATATGATGCTTTTTTAAAGATCATTATTTTGTGTATTTGGTGTAACAGAATATGTTGACATGCTTTAATGTTCAAAAAACACATTACTTTTCAAATACTGTACATTATTGTAGGTCCTCTATGCCCCGCCTCTCTAGACTTTAGTCTTTGCAACTTCAGGGATCTTATCTATGCACAATCAGCTTGTAACACTCCAAAGAGAAAGGAAAGCTTGAAATCGCATCATATGACCCCTTTAAGTTGATGTAATGATCAATATTATTATATCAGCATAAATGTTGAATTGATTTGAGAGAGAGAGAGAGAGAGAGAGAGAGAAATCTGTAGAAAAACTGATAATGTCCTGGCAGAAAATGTTCAGTTTTTTTTTTTTTTAAATTTGCAAATACTTCCTTTAACCATAAAACACTACACAATGCAATGTGTAATTTAAAATATCGGTAAAACACCTGTAAAAAATCACGACAGAAAATTCCTTCATATTAACACTGTACATTGGGCCACAGACTTTTCTAAGAGTGTAATGTAAACTATGAGCAGTGAGAATTAAAGTATCAGATTATTTCCAGGGGAGGTTGGGGGTTCGGTTTAGTGGGGTAGGAGGGAGTGAGAAAGAGTTAAACAGCCTGACAGAAAAAAGCTGTTTGAGTGTCAGCTAGTGGCAGTATGGATACTCTTAAACCCTTTTCCAGATAGAAGTGAGGTACATAGTTCATGCATGGGTGTGAGGGGTCAGCAATATGCACTACAGATGCAATGCTTGTCGAAGAATTATCTGCAGGAGTCTCTCTGAGGGGAGATTCAGATGATCCCCTCCACTGTCTTGACTATCTACTGATCTGCAGACACACTTCAGTTCCCAAACCAGACCAGATCTCAACAACAATAGCTAAAAACAATGTCTAACCGGCTATTTGGATTCCAATTCCAACACTAACCAATAACAACCAATTTACTTTTGCTATGGTTAAATTCAACAATATCTTCAAAAGATTTTTGAATTTTGGCACTTTTTTCCCGTTATATAGTAATTGTAAATACCATAAGTTTTGCTATGCTATAGCATGTGTGGAAAAGTTTAAACCATGTGTGTTACAACTAAACCCACATTATTTTGTGCCCTACTTACCCCATACCAGGGCCGGATTATCAATGGGCATTACAGGCACGGGCACCTGCGCACTTGGGGCCCAAGCGAGGGGAAGAAAAAAAATTCCAGAGTGTCTTTACACCAAGTGCAAATAGCGTGCTTGTTGGCAAATGCTATTTACACTCTGTCCACCAATGTCTGGTTGGGACACTCAAGATTTAAAAAAATACACATTCAACTCAATGTCTTCAGTGGTGTAGGCAGTAAAGTGTAAAATTTTCAAAACTGGCTTTTGACGCGATCGACCCAGGTTCAAATTCACCTTTTACCGAGCTATATACACCGATCAGGCATAACATTATGACCATCTTCCTAATATTGTGTTGGTCCCCCTTTTGCTGCCAAAACTGCCCTGACCCATCGAGGCATGGACTCCACTAGACCCCTGAAGGTTTGCTGTATATGGCACCAAGATGTTAGCAGCAGCTCTTTTAAGTCCTGTAAGTCGCAAGGCGGGGCCTTGTTTGTTCTTGTTTGTTCAGCATATCCTACAGATGCTCGATTATGTTTTTTATTTCACAGTAATATCAGTTAACTTCAGCCTTTCTGCAAAACAGTGTATCTGTACTTCCATTACCTACGCACCAGAGATTCTCAGGAAAATGTAAGAGTGCTAAATAACAACTAGAAATACAAAAGGTAAAGTTCAGACAATTTTTTTTTAACGTATTTACAGTTTGGCTCTTTTGGTAACTCAGTTGGGCTCAATTGGTAACTCTTGGTCCTCAATTTGGATAAAAGCGTCTGCTAAATGAATAAATGTAAATGTAACGCTATTGATCATATCAAACTTACCATTCTTTATCTGCCTTTGATGGTGGGAAAAGTAGGCTAGCAAGCAGCAACTTTAGCATCATCTGTGAATCTGTTTTTAGTAATAATAAAAAAAATTATAATTTATGCATTTAGCAGATGCTTTTATCCAAAGCGACTTACAGTGCATTCAGGCTATACCATTTTTACCAGTATGTGTGTTCCCTGGGAATTGAACCCACAATATTTTGCGCTGCTAATGCAATGCTCTACCACTGAGCCACAGAAACATTAAAAGAAAAGAAGAAAACGTTTTTAAAAGAAAGTTTTAGAGTAGGGATGCACGATATTATCGGATCAATATCGGAATCGGCCGATAAAGGCTTTAAATGTAAATATCTGCATCATATCGATATGAAAAATGATGCCAATATGTCTTGCCGATAAGAGGAATACATTAACTCACATGTGCTCAGGGTGTGCTAGCAATTAGATCACGTCAGCAGTGTGGCTCATTCTTGAAGCAAAGTTTTGCCTGAATGGGGATTGGATTCACTGTTTTGGATCGCTGCATTAAAACTGAGAATGCACTGTACAGAATGAGCATTTGGTGTGTGATAGAGTAAACAGTAATAGCACGTGCAGCGGCAGCCTCCCCCGCGTCCTAATGACCGCTCAGTAAGGAGTTTTAATTCCGTAGGGGGCGCTGTTGGCCTACTTCTAATAAAATGAAAGCAAAATACACAAAACTTATGAGCTCTGAAAGATTTTCTGAATTTTTACAACTCTTTTGCTTTAAACCATTAAAAAATGTTAAATCTTAAAATAAAATGTTAAGGTTACTACTGCATCTTTCTGGGGGGGGTGGGGGGATGCAGCGACTGAATATAGTTTATTTATAGTTATTTTCAAATCTTCAATGCACTGTCATTATAAAAGAACTTCATTATTGTTTATTTAATTCTAACAAATAAGTTATTTTTAAAAACTAACCAAAATTTTAAATAATTTACTTATCATTTCTGCAGAGCAGAGACTTGGTGTTGTTTCCAAACAAAAGGAAATAAATCGGTTATCGGCCAAAATGAGTTGAAAATATCGGCATTTCGGATATCGGCAAAAATCCAATATGGTGCATCCCTATTTTAGAGGTATCCTTCTCACATTCTTTTCAACATATTTAAACCTTTATAACTATTTCTGTGTAACGTGGGGTTTGTGTTTCTTGTTCATTGCTCTCATGTCTTTTATTTTGGAGTTTAGTCATGGTTCCCGTCTATTCATGTTGTTCCTTTGCCCTTTTGTATTCCTGGCCTGCGTTCAGCCCCGACAAAACGGTGCAAAACGTTTTTTAAATGCAAACGGTGGTACGTTGAACACTGTTCTGATGACGCAAGAGTTGCAACTATGGCAACTGAGAAGGCCATTCTTTGTGTTCTTTTTGAAGAATTTTCGGAGCCTGATGAAATCGGTATAAATACATGTTTAATACTGCAAAATGCGCTCGATGTAACAGTCACTGCCCTTGCTGTCCAGAATAAATGAGAACATCCCAATTCGAGTGAAGGGATTTGTGGAAACTGTGGTTCCTAATTATTGTGATCCAACATTTACCTCGCATTTCAGGACGAAAAGACAAACACTTCAGGTGAAGGATAATCCACTTCTTACCTCCAAGACTGTGTTTGGATCTATATGACCTTATTATTTCACACCGTTTCCAGGAAACATGTCGTTCAAACCGGAAACCTTAGCAAAACAGTGCACACCGGTTTGAGCTTGAACTTGCCCCTGCTATTTGTTCCTTTGTTCATTGTGTCATGTTCTGATTGGTTGTCCAAGTCATGTCTTGTTCCTCATTGGTTGGTTTGTCATGTGACCCTTATTGTTAAGCCCACATGTTGCCCTTGTCTTTGGTCGTGTATTGAACGTATTAACCTCTGTTTGGTGAGTTGTTTCATGTTTGTAGTCAAGTCTTTGTGTTTTGTTTGGATTTTGGATTTCACACTGTATAATAAAGCTGCACTTGGATTCATCTACAGCTAGTGGTGGGCAGAGCGAGACTTCATGAAACACTGAAACAGTCGAAGCAAATGTGCTGAGGCTTCAAAACAATTCAACACCCATCTCTACGTTGACATCTAGTGGTCATTTTCAAGTATTGCTCTGAACCAGCATTGACAATGAATCAGTTAAAGGAGTCCTATTATATGGCAAGCCATTTTAGCTTAAATTGTTCC